GGCCACCGGTGGGCCGGAGGGAGTCCTCAGGACGCCTTGGCAGAGTGTGTGGCGTTTTGACCGACTGCACGACGTCTCCCAGAGTGACCCGGCCGGAGGGGACAAAGAGGCCGGAACTTGGCAGGCGCCGCTGTGGAGCAGCGCTCGGAGCCCATTTTGAGCTCGCAGCACTGGCCAGCACTGGCTTCGGTCTCGGGAGACCCACTACTTGCCTCCTCTCAGGCTCCCTCGCTTCACCAACTCCTGTGACTCTTCCCCAAGCCCAGTTGAGTTTAGAAGCCCAAGTCAGCTTCCCCGGTGCGTGAATTTCCCATCTGTGTCTCCCGAACTCTTGCTGAGTTCTTACTTTGTCTGGGAGGGGTAAACAGGAGACCCAACATTCAGCACTTGACTTGGGTTCTGCCTGGAAAATCTTACTTTGGCGTTCAAGGGGGCGGGGCTGACAGCAGGGGCTCTGGGGAAGATTAGCGGCCACCCGCTAGTCAGGCTTTTGTGGTCTTCAGCCAAATGTTGACTTACCTTTAGAGTCCATCAGATGTCCCATGCGGTTCGAATTCACTCTACAACTTTGATCTGGGGCGCTAAATGCGATCAGATTTATTTAGGTGAGGTGAGCGTGAAGCAGATGGGATTTTCTATTACCTGCGACTTCTGGGAATGCTCCAGTCACCACCCAGAAATGGAGCTTTTTGAAAGGTCATTTTCTCCTTGCTCATTGATTTGCTGTCCTGAAGCGGCACTACCTCAGAAGACCACTTGGAGCATATGGGAAGTCAAGCCGCCTCTGGCAAGACTTTTAAACATGTGAAGATATTTCCATTTCTCTTTAGGAAGAAACTCCTTTTTACAGAGAGACTCATCTGCAGATGTTTCTGTAAGGACATGGGGAGATAGCGAACTAAGTCTGGAACCCAGACACTAAAAGGAGAGACTGCTTTTAGCTGTGAAGGATGGCCAAACCCACTTTCAGAGGCAGCGGCACTAACTCTGAATGCTTACGGCAGCGCTTCAGGAGATTCCATTACCAAGAGGTGGCAGGGCCACGAGAGGCTTTCAGCCAACTGTGGGAACTTTGCTGTCGGTGGCTAAGGCCAGAGGTGCGCTCCAAGGAGCAGATTGTGGAATTGTTGGTGCTAGAGCAGTTCCTGACTGTGCTACCTGGGGAGATCCAGAACTGGGTACAAAAACAGTGTCCAGAAAATGGAGAGGAGGCAGTGACACTGGTGGAAGACTTAGAAAGAGAGCCTGGACGACCTGGACATTCGGTGAGAAGGAGAGGGAATTCAGAAGTGTGTGGCTGGGGAGGGGCGGTTTAAGATCAGCCAGGAGTAAAGAGTTTGGTGATTTTTGTACTCCTGACTGGAAGGGTTACTTTTTCAGGAGGGCTTGTCTGGAGATGCCATTTGAGCATACCTCTGCCTGCTCTATTATTTCAGTACATATCTCACTTCAATTTCTTTTTTTGTTGTTGTTTTTGTTTTTTGGAGGGACAGGGTTTCTCTGTGTAACAGTCCTCGCTATCCTAGAACTCACGTAGACCAGCTGGCTTCAAACTCACATAGATCCACCTGCCTCTGCCTCTCAAGTGCTGGGATTAAAGATGTGTGCCACCACTGCCCAGCTCACTTCAATTTCTTAATAGAGAAGAAATGGTAAGGTTTTTTTTTCCAAGCTGGTATTTGGGTTTCTACTTTGATCTTTCTGTAGTTAAGCCACAGTAAGCTAATGATAGTGGAATAAACACTTGTTTGTCCTATCTCCCCACCCCTACCACCCCTTGCCTCAGAAGGATGGTCTCTTTGGGAGTATTAAATAATCTCTCCTGGTTATGTCCCTTGTTATGACCTTGAAAATTAATGGGGGTTGTTTCTAGGTCACAGTCTGTGTGAAGGGGCAGGAAATGCACTTGGAGAAGATGACACCCCCGAAATCATCACAGCAGTTATTAAGTGTTCTTCAGGAGTCAGTGGAACCCCAGCCCAGGGGTGTATTCAACAAAGAGGGGGCAAGAAGCCCAGCCCTGGGACTACAGAAGCAGATGAACCCAAAGAAGAATCTCAGACCTTTTCAAAGGAGCGGTGAGGAGTGGATTCATGTGGGAAGATGGAGCCATTGTAGGTTGGGAAGTAGGGTTGGGAGGAGTGAGTGGGAAAGGGATTTCAGAAATAGTGGAAACTGTTGAATATGTGGTTGTTGGGACCTTCTGAAGACAGGTCAACCCTTTAGTACAGTAAGTATTCCTACATTTCTTCTTTTGACAATTCTGCCAGAGAACAGCTGCCCAGTTTTTATTATAATTAGAATAATCTTATTTTTTTGGTGGTAGATGCTTATTTTCTAGATATAAATTATTTTCTATACTCAAGATACCTTTCTTTTATTTTTCTTTTCTCTCTATTATCTCCATTTAGAATTAAGTTCTTGTTATTCTCTACATTGGAATTTGGAAGTTCTCTAAATATGTTAGTTGTGGAGAATGAAATTACATCTGTATTGTTCCTGTGAGCTCTGTCATATATAAACAGTAAGAATTTTACTTCAGAATTTTGCAACATCTTCCAGAGTAAAGCCCAGCATATGATTATATAATGGTCTTTGTTCATGTGATAACCCCTGGAGTCCAGTGTCTTTGGATCCATTCACTTCTATTTGACTTTTTAGAACTTGTTTTTCTTCTTTGTGCTCTATTGAACTACATTTTGTGTTTGTTATTAAAACTTGTTGAGGTTGTTTTGAATTCTGATCTTATCATCCAAGAGGACAAGTAATGATAGCATTCTTGGTTAGTTTGGTAATTAGTCATCCATTGGAAATACCTCAACCTCAACATACATGCAGATTAATCAGGTTTTAAACACCTACCATGTGCTTCAGGGTACATACACTGCAGTAAGAAAAGGTACTGTTGGCCAGTGAGCTGGCTCAGCTGATAATGGTCCTTGCTGCACAAGCCTGGTGACCTGAGTAGAAGCAAGTCCATGAAGTTGTCCTCAACCTTCAGTGACTATAGCTCATGCACCCCCAGGTATATCCTGCACACATGATGAAAGTTTTATTAAAGTACCTGCTATCAAAGAGCTTACAATGTAAATTTAAGAACACATGAATATATACTGAACTCAGCCGTCTGAAAACAGTGTTAAGGACTTGTTTAGTTGTTCTATAAGGGTTTGGTAGTGTAGCCATGAAATGGGGCTGTAGGGGGCACCTGAGGGCATTGGCGAAGGGCTTCCCAAAGGATGGGTGAGTGTGGAAAGGAAGAAGGGAGACACAGAGGTGAATAAAAATGTACTGTGTTCTGAAGAGGAGTGGATGGAACTTGTTAGACACCACAGTTAAGGTTCAGCAGGATAGACATGAGCTGAGAGCTAGTAAGACGGTGACTATTGTAGTGCCAGCTATGGGAGGACTAAGGGTCAGCACTTGGATGGAGAGGAGGATGTACTGAAGGAAACACTTAGAATTTGGAGAATGAAGCAGAGTCAAGTTGAAGACAGATCCACTCTCTCCCTCACCCCTCTTGAAATCACTGAATTTAATTCTCAGGACTCAAGTGAAAAAAATAGAGACAGGATCGACTAATGGAGAAGTGCTTCCACCTGCACACACGCAGGTGGGGCTAGGGATCTACTGGAATTGAGATACTTGCACTAAACACACAATAGAATATTTTCTTCCCGGGCTCAGCCATTAAAGGCTAGGCTCATAACCAAATATAAGGATATTTCCTTCCCTTCTTGTTCTGTTCTAGAACAGAAATCAAATTCTTTCTCATCCTTTGAGGTGTCTGAAGACATTTCCTTTATAGTCTTTAGATAGAGGCTGTGAATGTAGCTCAGTTGGCAGAGTGCAGTGTGCACAAGGCCTCATTTGATTCCAGCATGCCATAAAACTCAGCATGGTGTTGCACACTTGTAATCCCAGCACTTAGGTATTAGCAGGAAGAGCTGAAGTTCAAGCTCATCCTCCACTACATAGCCTCATTCAGGCTAGCATGGGCTATATATATGAGACCCCATTTCAAACAAAGAAGATAAAATCTTTTGGACGAAAGAGGCAGGGCTAGAGAAATAACTCAGAGGTTAAGAGCACCGACTGCTCTCCCAGAGGTCCTCAGTTCAATTCCCAACAACCACATGGTGGCTCACAACCATCTGTAATGAGATCTGATGCCCTCTTCTGGCATGCAGGCAGAGCACTGTATACATAATAAATAAGTAAATACATAATAGATAAGTAAATAAATAAGGCAGGGCTGATTTAAAAGGGTTTTGTTGTTGTTGTTGTTGTTGTTGTTGTTGTTTTTATGATCAGTCCAAACTGTGATACTTTAGTTTCTTCCCTAAAAACAGGATTTCCATTTCCTAAACCTGATGTGGTCTCCAGGTTGGATCAAGGAGAGCCATGGATCCCAGATCTGCTCAGCTCCAAGGAGAAGGATGTCCCAAAAAGCAACAGCACAGGAGACAAACAAGTTTATACTGATCCATTGCCATCCAAGAGAGATAAAAGTAGCTGGGTAGAACAGGATCTCTGGGGTTTTGATGATGAGAAGGTGGTGGGTGTACACTGGGGCTATGAAGAGACTAGAACACTCCTTGCAATTCTCAGTCAGACTGAATTTTATGAAGCTCTCCGAAACTGCCGTAGGAACAGCCAAGTGTATGGGGCTGTAGCTGAGAAACTTCGTGAGTATGGCTTCCTCCGGACCCTGGAACAGTGCCGAACCAAGTTCAAAGGCCTTCAGAAGAGCTACAGGAAGGTCAAGAGTGGTCATCCACCTGAAACCTGCCCCTTCTTTGAGGAGATGGAAGCTCTGATGAGTGCCCAGGTCATTGCATTGCCCATTAGTGTCATGGAAGAAGCCACTTCCCATCCTAGCCAGGCAGACACTGAAACTGAGGAGCCAGGGCAGAGGGCCTGGCAGCATGAGGAAGGAGAAGAGACTGTGGCTGAAGGGTCTGACAGTGATGACCTGGAGGCCATCCCCCAGGACCCTGACAATCCACCTGCATCTGTCGTCTTCCGAAGCCCAAGTGGTAAGAAGCTTTTCTTGGGCTTTTGGGATTAGGTATGAGGAGCAGTGAAACTGGGCGTGGAGCCAGCCAGTCACCTGCCAGCTTGGCCACTTTAATAGGGAACAGAGGTACTTCTTAACTCTGTATATTTTATTCTCTTCTGGGAGCAAATGAGATAATAGTAAAGGATAGATTTTTTTCTTTCTTTTTTTAATGCCTGGGGCCTTACGCACATGCTAGGCAAACACTACTCTATTAAGTTACATCTCAAACTTCAGACAGGATTTTTCAAAGAAATACACCCAAATAATCCAAATGTTTTCAAAGGGGTAATTATTTTAAAAAATACTTTTCCTGTTTATAAAGCAGGTTTACTGAAAAAAATGACACTTTGTTGTTTTATTCCTTTTTAAACAGTGAATTTTTAAAAATGTAGATAAATCATGGCTGAAGCAAAATGCTTTTCATTATCTTTGTTCTTCTCATCTTTTCCTGCCTCTCCACTTTTTCTCCCATCTTTTGGTTCTTTCCTGTTCTCCTTTACTTCCACTAAGTGGAAAATGACAGAAGGAAGTGTTCTCAGTCGGGAGAAGACTGTGTGAAACTTTCCTCTTTCCTTAGACACCTTCAACTAGTAGCCTGGTTTACCACTCTCTGTTCTTTCCTAAAAGCACAAAAGTGAGACCTGCAGTGCAGCATGTGTGCTTGCTTCTTTCCTCATTCTGGCCTCCGCAGTCCTCCACCCAAAGATAAAGTGCATGACTATAAGACCCTGCAGGTCTTTGTTCTTGCTGGGGTTGCTTAATGGAGATAGTAACAGATGAGGATAGGCCAAGACAGGAATTTGCTAACAGTATGATTCTGAAAGAGGCTGGTCCTTGGAGTTTTAAGTCATTCTTTTTAATTATCTAAAATTTTACAAATGTTATTTTAAAAAAATTGTCAATTCAAAACAAAACAAAGACACACCAAAATTAACCAGATTAGTTTGAGTATTGATTCTGAAGCCATAAAGCTTCACATTGGATTTTACACTTTGACTATCAAATATTAAATCATTCTATGGGAAGAAAATAGGTGTGGAGTAAATTTATCAGAGAAGTTAGGGATGGTGAATTGTGGCTGACAACAATTGTGGATCTTTTTTTCCTGACCAGTGATTTTTCTAGTTGGGATCAAAATTCTGGAAAGATCAGTAGATGGGAAGAGAAATACACTCTATACACTCTATACTTAGTCTATCAATACTTAGTTGCTCTCATTACTGTGACAAAATCCCAGACAGTGGCAACCTAAGGAAGGAAGGGCTTGTTTTGGCTCACAGGTGGAGTGTGTCCATCATGCTGGGAAAGACGTGGTAAGAGCTGCTCTCAGTGTGCCAGTGGGAGCAGGAAGTAGCTGGTTATGCTGCATCTGTAGTCAGGGAGCAGAAAGAGTGATGCACACTGGTATTGTTTGCTTTCTCTTTTCTACCTTTTATTTTTTATGTTTTTTTTTTTTTTTTTTAGACAGGGTTTTTTTGTTTTGCTTTGGGGGTTTTCCTGGCACTCACTCTGTAGACCAGGCTGGCCTTGAACTCACAGAGATCCGCCTGCCTCTGCCTCCCAAGTACTGGGATTAAAGGTGTGCGCCACCAATGCCCGACTTCTCTTTTCTATCTTTTAATTCATTGTGGGACCCCAGCCCATGGGATGGTGTTACCCACATTCAGGGTAGGTCTTTCCTTAGCTAAACCTTTCTGGAAACGCTCTCACAGACATGCCCAGTTGATAATGAAGATTAACCGTCACAGTGCATAATGACTGTCCAAGTAGTCATGTGGAAAGGCTTCTTTTAAATCCTAAGGTTACTAATAAAGTTCTCTGTGAAACTGCTAAAGGATACAGAATCTATAATGCATGTATAAGTTTGGGGAACATGAACATTTTAAATCTAGGAACCTGAGCTTAGGTGGCCTCCCTCTCTCCCTTTCTTCTTTGCCTATAAACTGAAGCCCAGGCCTTATGCATACTTAAGGTACTCTCTGAGCTAATGTCTCCAGCTTAAGTGGTTTTCTTTGAAGCATGCAGTAAGACTGAAGAGTTGAGGCTCTAAAGATCTTGGTTAAGTGATGCTGAAATTTCTCTTCTGGTACAGGTGTACACTGGGGCTATGAAGAAACCAAGACTTATCTTGCAATCCTTAGTGAGACACAGTTCTATGAAGCCCTCCAAAACTGTCACCGCAATAGCCAGTTATATGGAGCAGTTGCTGAGAGATTATGGGAATATGGCTACCTTAGGACCCCAGAGCAATGTCGGACCAAATTTAAAAGCCTACAAACCAGCTATCGGAAAGTCAAGAATGGTCAAGCACCAGAAACTTGCCCCTTCTTTGAAGAAATGGATGCTCTGGTCAGTGCCCGTGTTGCTGTCCAACCTAGTGATGACCAGGAAAAAGAAACAGCTTCTTGCTACCTTCAGGAAACCAGTGAAGCTGAAGCTGAGGAGCAAGCCGAGGACACAGAAGAAGATTCAGATGATGAAGATGACACTGAGATACCCCCAGGGGCTGTTACAACCCGTGCTCCAGTCTTATTCCAGAGCCCCAGTGGTAAGGTTCTTTATTTTTACCTTTGGAGAGAGGGTTCCTGTAACTAAGATTGACCTTGAACTCACTGCATGGCCAAGGATGGCCTTAAACTCCTGATCATCCTGTTTCTACTTCCTAAGTGGTTGTATTGCAGGTGCGTACCTCCATGCCCAGCTAAGATTCTTTCAGTTCTTTGGTGTAAATAGCAAAAGGGAGGCTATCTATACCCAGCTCTCCTGAGTTCTTATCTTTCTTCCCCGTGTTTCCTATCTATTAAAACAGCTCAGTTAAAAGCTGCAGATTATTAATGTGGCTTCCTTCAGCACACTACAGCATCACTTGGTTGCAAACATTGTATATTTGCTACCACTTTCATGTGCTGCTAGGTTTCTAGTCAGTTTTCACAGCAGCTAATCTAAATGGCAACATTTTCCAAGTAGTATGTCACATATTCTGTAGAAGGAAATTTATTTTTACAGTTCATGCATATGTTTCTCTTCTAGTTTTAGCTTGTCCATCAACTATAGGGCTATGTAGAAACCTGATAACCCTTTTCTTCATATATATATAGATATAGATATAGATATATAGATATATAGATATATATATTTATTTATTTTATTTGCATTGGTATGAAGGTATCAGACCCCCTGAAACCAGAATTACAGACAGTTATGAGCTGTCATGTGGGTGCTGGGAATTAAACCCAGGTCCTTTGGAAGAGCAGCCAGTGCTCTTAACCTCTTAGCCATCTTTCCAGCCCCAGACTGATTTTTTAAAAGATATTTTTATCTTATGTGTATGTGGACCTGAGTGGATGTATATGCAGCGTGTGTTCAGTGTCCTTCAAGGCCAGAGGAGTGTTTGTATCTACTGGAACTGGAGATACAGGCAATTGTGATCCCAGCAATGTAGATGCTGGGAACCAAATCCAGGTTCTCTGGAAGAGCACCACTGAGCTGTGTCTGTCTCCAGCCCTTCAGATAAACTTTTGTCTGCAGGTTTCTATGGAACTAACTGAATCTCAACTGCTGTATAAGAAAAAAATTTCATTATGGTTTTCCTCCTTGTAGGAAGAATTGTAACTTTGGAGTCATACATGTTTAGTTATGTGTATGCCAATCTCCAATATTAGCCAAGTGATTTAGTGCAAGGTACTTAACCCCTAAATTTGCATATGCATTAAGACTCTGGGCTGGGGGTGTAGTCTAGTGGTAGAGTGCTTGCTGGAATTTACTCCAGGCTCTGGGTTAATCATTTACATTGCAAATGAAAGGAAAACCACATTTCAGGGCTGATGTAACTGAGGTTCACTATGAAGCACCCACCACAGTGCAAGGCACATAGTAAGTATTCAATAAATAGTTTTCACTTCAAAAGTCCTTCAGATCAGCATTCTGATTTTACATTGAACATCAGTATTTTACAAAAAAAAAAAAAAAGTTGACTTCTGAGTTTGGGAAATAATAAATAACACTCTTGGAGGTGCACAGTACACTTTCACATATTAAAGGTTCTAAGATCTCAGTCATTCTAGCAAATCTCTTATTTTATGGACCACCTTCCAAGTGTAAGCTTTAAGGGAATACATACCGACTCACTCAGTATTCCAGGGAATTCAGGATCTAGAGTTAACCTGAAACACTCGAATAAGTGCAAATTCTCATAGCCTTGGTTGAAAGGTTGGCATTTGCTTTTTAGGATGTTAAAAAGTTGTCTAGTTGGGCTAAATTACAGTGTTTTTTGCAACATTAAGGTTTTGGAGAGAGAATTTCTAGTGAAGCTTTCCTTTTTTGAGAGCCTTTGTTCTTTTTTTTTTTAAGAATTTTTTTTTTTTTAGTTCAAATTAGAAACAAGCTTGCTTCAGATGTCAATCCCTTCTCCCTCTTCCTCCCCTCCCCCCAACATCCCACCTGCCCTTAGCCATCCTCCCTCCGCTCCCCAGGCAGGGTAAGTCCCTCAAAAGGGGCTCCCCAAAGTCTACCACATCATCCGGAATTCTGTGCTTCTGTATTCTTTTTTTGTTTTAGAGAATACTTTATTAGTTTTTGTAATCAAACCCACGTAAATAAGACCTTACATATTTAATACAGTGCATTGCCTCTGTACAAATGGAAAAAAATTAAGTTCAACATTTCTAGACCAATATGGCTATTAATTTTTGTACAATGCCAATTCAACATGGTAAACTGGGATACTTTTTTCCAAAATTGACAGGACAGCTAAAGTTTCCAAAAATTCAAATTATATATGTATATATATACATTTATATTTATATTTATATAAAAAGACCAATAATGGCAGTATGTTATTCATCAATAGCAGCAACAGCTTTTCCAGGTTCTGAAGTCATTTGAGGGCCTTTGTTCTTTAAACACTGCTACATATTTTCTCTTCCTCCACTTCCTCCCAAGTGCTAGGATTAAAAGTGTACACTACCATACCCAATTTAAAAATATTTTTAAATACTTTAAAAAATTATGTCTGTGCATGGGTGGGCTATGCACATGTGAGTACAGGTGCCCAAGCCGGCTAGAGGAATCAGATTTCCTGGAGCTAGAGTTACTACAGGTGGTTGTGAGCCCACCTGATGTTGGTGCTGGGAACTGAACTCAGGTCCTCTCTAAAGGAGTATGTGTCCTTGACTTCAGAACCATCTCTCTAGCACCTCCCATGTGTTTCACTTTTGTTTATTTATTTAGGGTCACATATACCATGGCACGCGTTTGGAGGTCAGAGGACAATTCATGGAGTTGGTTCTCCCATTTCCTTGTGTGGGTTCCAGGAATTGAACTCAGGTCATCAGGCTGAGCAGCTAGTACCTTTACCTGCTAAACCATTTTGACTCCACCCCACACTTTTTTCAATAGAATGAACTTATAGATTGAAAATGCAGAACTCACTGATGATTTGTGATCATCTAATGTAATACTTGTTCCTCCCAGGTTTGCTTTGTTGTGGTCATATAATTAAGTAAATGAATGACTCTTCAAATTGTGTTCTTGTATTAGGTTTTGAGGCTGGATTTGATAATGAAGAGAATCTAAAACGAGATATTTCTGAGGAAGTACAGCTGCATAGGACATTACTTGCAAGGTCTGAAAGGAAAATTTCCCGTCATGCTAATCAAGGTAAAGTTAGTAAGAATGAATGTTTATCAGCAAACCAATGGGGAAAGACTCAAAGAGAAAAAAAAAGAAAACTGGCACTCCCAGAGAAGAGTATAGGTACAGTCCTGACTTATCAGAGACCAGGCTTGGGAGACAGACCCTATAAATATCTCAGATATGGCAAAAGTTTTGGCCCAAACTCCCATCTCCTGTATCAGGTATCCCATCAGGTAGAGAATCCATATAAATGTGCTGACTGTGGGAAAAGCTTCAGTCGGAGTGCACGCCTCATCAGACACCAAAGAATCCACACTGGAGAAAAACCTTATAAGTGTCTTGACTGTGGGAAAGGTTTCCGAGACAGTTCCAATTTCATTACCCATCGGAGAATACACACAGGAGAAAAGCCTTATCAGTGTGGTGAATGTGGAAAACGCTTCAATCAAAGCTCAAGCCTTATAATTCACCAGAGAACCCACACAGGAGAAAAACCTTACCAGTGTGAAGAGTGTGGGAGAAGCTTTAATAACAGTTCTCATTTCAGTGCACATCGGAGGACACACACAGGAGAGAGACCCCATGTGTGTCCTGACTGTGGTAAGAGTTTTAGTAAGAGTTCTGACTTACGTGCACATCACAGAACCCACACAGGAGAGAAACCTTATGAGTGCCACGATTGTGGCAAGTGCTTCAGTAAGAGCTCTGCCCTTAATAAACACCGAGAGATCCACACACAGGAAAAGCTGCTGTCACAGTCAATGTCTAAGTAAGCTCCTGCGGAAAGACATCAGTAAAAGTATTGTTTGACAGTCCCCTCCTGTTCTGTGCTCAGCTGGCTTAGGAGGCACTTCTTGGGATTTTTGCCATTGTTTGTTCCTATGCTTCCCAAACGTAGCCGAGTCAGATGTCAGTGGTTTTAAGATAAAAAGTAGCTTTTTGTCTAAACTGATGGTAATGACGTCTTCCAACTCGGTGCCTGTGTTGTTCCCTTTGAGAGGATATGACAGTATATCCTGTGGTTCTCATGTATATCTTCCACCCCTCCTGTCATTCACTGCACTTTAATTGGAAACCCATCTCAGCACTTTGTCAAACAAGTTGTGAGAATGCTCATTTAATTGGGCCATCCTGCTCACTTACACTTGTGAATACTCTTCATTTATCTTTAAGGAGAGTTTAAAGTCCTTCTTGGTTCTATCTTTTTCCAAGAATCTGGGACTAGGGATGTAGCTCAGTGGTAGAGCACTTGCCTAGTATGCACAAGGCCCTGGGTTCAATCCTCAGTAACATACAGAGACAGAGAGACAGAGGGAAACACTGTAAGCCTTCTATAAACACTGAATTTCTTAGCTTCTTTTAGATTCTACAAGGGTTGTAATAGAATATACTGCATTTATAGCATCTTGTTTGATTTTTCTCTTCTTTTTCTCCTTTCCTCCTCTTCATCTAAATTTCATCTGTCCCTTATGGACTAGAAGCCTAAAGAGCAAACTAGATGGATGTGGTGACAGAAAAAGCACTTAAAGCTACCAATGGGAATTGTCTATTTTTCCTACACTCCACATACATACTCCACATCAGTCTATGAGTGCTCAGTACTAATTGCAAGGAGCAGAACCACTGCCACATTCCCATATATAGGTCAAATACACTTCACCCTAAATGACAGGGAAGATAGTGGAGCTATCCATCTACACACGCACACATACTCAATTATACAAATAAAAGTATCTATTTAAATACAAATGTAATTATGGCTTTCTTTTTTGTTCATTTGTTTTGGTTTTTTGAGACAGGGTTTCTCTGTGAAACAGTGCTAGCTGTCCTGGAACTCACTCTATAGACCAGCCTACCCTAGAAGAGATCCACTTGCCTCTGCTTCCTGAGTGTTGGGATTAGAGGTGTGTGCCCCAACCCCATGGCTGATGGATTTTCAAAATTAGGTAGTTTGGATTAATTTCCACATTTTCATAGACTTATGATAAACCCTATACAAGTAAAACAGTCCCTACCCTTGTCCTTATACTGGAAAACAGATAGTACATGGACAGATAAGCACAAATATGTAGTTGCATCATTTGTTTTTTTAAAGACAGGGTCTCACTATGTACTACTGGCTGACCTGGACTCACTATGGAGAGGTTACATTGGCCCTGAACTCACAGAGATTTGACTGCCTCAGTCTTCAAAGTGTTAGGTTTGTATCACTCACTATGATAGACTGCAGCTGATTTAAAGAAATTTAGAAAGCTAAGTAGTGTTACTACACTAGACATAAGTTTTAACATAACTTGCTCTGAGAAAAATCTAGAAAGTATTTTTTCAGGAAACAGTAGCATTGAAAGGAAGAAAAGTAACTAGATAAATGATAGTGAGATAGACTTTGCAAAACTAGTTATAAATTTGGTGCTAGGTGGGTAAGATGTGGGAAGACATCAAAGCAAAGGACAAAAGATATAAAGTTCACTAAAGCTTGAAGCAGGAAAAACCTAATGAATGTATGATACAGCTGTACAGTAGGCAGAGAAACAACTCTGCAGAGACAGGGATTGCTAGAGGGTAACCCTGTGCTGTGCTTACTGAGGTCAGGACAGCAGCTTGGCGCAGGAGAAAATGAGTTTTAGACTAGCTCCTTTGAGAGACAAACATCAGAAATTAGCATCTACTGAAGATACTTTTGATGAGCAGGTCAGAGAAAAGATGGCCATGATCAGATGGCCAAGACCTGAAATAACTAACGTTCACATTTTACTTTTATTAGATACCCATGGCTAGATTAAGATCTGAGGCAGTAGTATGGAGATAAGACTTCAAAAATTTATTAGGATGAATAATTAACTAAGGATCTGGTATTAAGGAATTCTAAAATAACTAACAATTAAGGGAAAATGGTATCTCAATTATGCTGCCTAAGCAAGCAGGAAGGTAAATGAAACCCCTGTCTAAAGCAGGGTTTCAGGGGCAGAGATGGCTTTGGAAGTGAGCTGCAATGTCAAAGAAAATGGGGATTATTGTCTTTAGTATTAATCTATGTATAGTACTGTGGGAAAGGCATAAGGGTATTAGTAAACATGGCTCCAAATGTCTTGTGTGTATGTTAAACTGCTGATTCTCTTCCTGTAAAGCAGAATAATGTTTACACCAAATCTGCCTCTCAGGGATCATGTTAATAAAAGCTATTTCCATAAAGCACTCTGTGTTTCTTCAGGCATTTCAATGTGAATTTTATATGAGCAAATTATATAAAAGTATTAGCTTGGTCATAAGTTCTTATCAAATTGTAGATGGTAGGAAAATAAGTTCTCTGATTTTTCCCCCTTCTTGTTATGTTACCTGCCTGAATTTTTACATTGTAGGCAAAGGAACAAATTACAATCACATCAAGATGACTGGGCAAGGAAAATGAGTCAGGTTTTAAATTACACAGGACCCTTCAACTTCCAAATGAAGAAATATTATAAAAGGAATAGGGTGAACTCTCATTACTAGAGGAAGATCCAGTTCATCTCAAACTACCTCACAAATGGCCCAGTCTGCCATTGCTGAGGGTGGACAGAAGCAAAAGTAAGCCTAAGAGAAAGCACCAAGGAAAGCAAGAGGTTTAGGCTTCTAACCCTGTAATGACTACAGCCTCTAGTAGACATGATAGTAACCTGCTCTCATCATGTTTCCTTAGCACTGTTAGCTACTTTCCCATATTTTCTCATTGAATATATTATACACACTTAATTTTATGTCAAATTTTATAATTCTTTTAAAGGGTATAAAATACCCACTTTAAGGGTGAAGATGTAGCTTGGTGGGAAAGTGCTTGCCTAGCATATGCAAGGAGGCTCTGTATTCAATTCCCCAGTACAGCAAAGAAGAGATTGCCATGGTCTGTGCTGCCCAAGGCCATGTTGATATCCCAAGCCTATACTTCTGCTGAGAGCCATAATGGTGTCCATGGTGTGTGTTACCATAGGAGTCCTTGTGGATGTCGATGATATGTGCTGCCACTGACAAGGTTGAAAGTTTCTACACCCTGATAAGCTTCTCCACCAATGCAGCAATCCAAATCATACCAAATCAAACCGAATTAGAAAAAGCCCAGGTTTAATAGATACAACACTCCCAGACGGCCTTCCAGTCCCCCAGAGAGGATACGGGAAAGGAAGACTGGAGAAACCATGAGTCTATTTTCTGGGAGGCAGTTTAAATACCCTGTGGGAGTGGTCTTGAGCATCTCTGGGGGAGGGTTCATCATTTAGTGGGCTTTCTGAGATGTAGCAAGTTTCGGAGAGAGATAGGGGAGGGGGGGCTTGGCTGGAACTTCCACCATAACCTCCCAGAGTCTTTGGGTATGGATGCCAGGGGCTGGGGTGAAGCTTCCACTGTATCACAAGGAAGCTTCTTTTGTAGTGGAATTGATGACTGCAGACTCAGTTGAGAATAAGAGACATAAGGTTTCTGTGACAGCCCCCCCCCCCCAGTCTAGACAGGAAGCCATGGAAGAGAACTCTTAACTGTGATAGGGATTCTGAAGTATAGCTTTTCACAGTTGATGGCTTCTAGAAGAGGTGGGGTAGGGAAGGACTTAGTTTTCTTTAAGAGGCTGGCTACTGGGGAGTTTGACCATGTTCCAGTGAGTAGTATATGGGTAACACAAATCGGACTTTTTTTTCCTTTGGGAGAGGTCAAAGGGGAGCTGGGGTGGACCTAGGAAGACAAGGAGGTGAATGTGATCAGGGTACATTATGTGAAACTCCCAAATAATCAATAAATATGTTGGGAGAAAAAAGATTACATTTTATGGATTTTTTAAAAACTGTACAATTGGATAAAGTTAGAAATGTGAGGTTATAAAACACGTATCTAAGAACTTCAAAAGTTTAAGTACTTCCCTTTACTGTGCACCCTTAAAGAAAGACTCACAGAAATCTCAACCTTAGTAATTGAATTAAGGGTGTCATCGGGCTTCTTCTCTGAGATCAGGGAAAACATGTTCTAAGAAGGAGAGCAATTCAAGTATACTTGACTGTTTTAGGATTTTTAATGCTGTGATAAAACACCATAATCAAAAGCAATGTGAGGAAGAAAGGGTTTTATTTTCTCTTACAATTTGTAGTCCATCATCCTAGCAAGCTGAGGCAGGAACTGGAGCTGAAGCAATGGAGGAGTGCTACCTACTGGCTTATCCCTTGTGACTTGCTCAATTTACTTTCTTATTCCACCCAGAACCACCCTGCCTGGGGTGGCATCACCCTCTGGGGGATGTGCCAACCAACTGATTAGGTCAATTTGGTGGGAGCATTTTCTCAGTTGAGGGTCCTTCTTCCCAAATAACTCTAGCTCGTGTCAAGTTTAAAAAAACTAACCAGGACATTTGTTATCTGGTAAAGTCTTTTTCTTACCATGCAGAGCCAATCTTAGTTGTCACTAGTCTTTGGCGAAAGTGGCCATGGTATATGTATTTATGTAAGCCTGTGCCTGTGGGCCATCACCTGGGCATGAGGTTATAGGAGATATAAGAATCTTAGAAGCCACAATGCTACCATTACTAGAAAGATCTTTTCACTGAGTCCTGGTACTGTGGAAGTCCTGGCAGCTTCTACAAAGAAAGCTAAATAGAAGCTAATTTTAAAACAGAAGCTCCAGCTTTATGTCTTTCTCAGTTTGAGTCAGCAATTCTTTTTCGTTAAACTGAAGTAATTACTTTAATTCCCTTTATATATTTCTGAAGATATTATGAGAAGGGCAAAGCCAGATTCTAGCCTTGTCACTAGAGTCACCTGACAACTAGACACCCACACAAATGGTTTCGGTGTGAAATGTGACCTGGCATCAATAGTCTTGAGAAATAATACTTGAAAGAGTTAAAGGAAGTAGAAGGATTCTGATTAAAGGTAACAAAACATAGAGGTCTTCCTGAAGACAAATAGCTTCAACTTCTCAGAAGTTTTATGATCACTAGTGGGGAGTGATAATTTAAAAATAAAGTCAGTAGTGGAGTAAGGGGTTTAGGTAATGACTCTCCAGCCCACCAGCAAACAGCATGGAGGTGAAGCATTCAAGGCCCCAGGGCTCTTAGTCTGAGACATTACTGAACGCTTATCATATGTAAAGTGCTGGTATCAAGACCTCACATATACTTGGTACTGAGCTTGAAGGGAAGTAGAGGACATTTCACTGAGTGGGAAGTGACAGAAGATCTTGGCTACAACATATAATCGAAAGTAGTTCACCTTATCACAGCTTAAAAGTGTAACACTTTGGGCTTCAGGAGATTCCACCTCTTTCTCAGTTCAGATCTGGTATTGTCAGAAGCGAAGATGTAACTGATGGATTCATAAGACAGATCCCACACCTGAGATGGGGTCAAATTAAATGTTTCTGCTGCCAGTTGATATTCTTGAGAAAGGTATGTCGCAAAAACACCCTTATCATCGGTCTGCCAATGTAAACAAGAACAGTTCAAAATAAACAAAGCAGTGCTTTGTAAAAATTAACTTTTTTGTTTTGTTTTGTTTTGTTTTTTTGAGACAGGGTTTCTCTGTGTAGCTTTGGGGCCTGTCCTGGAACTCACTCTGTAGACCAGGCTGGCCTTGAACTCAGAGTCCACCTAACTGTGCCTCCAAAGCCCTGGGATTAAAAGGTGTGTGCCACCACCACCCGGCTAAAAATTAACTTTTTTTGTTCAGAATCTATTTTCCCTGGCTTTTTAAATAGTGAAAAGGAACTTACAGATGCATATCTGTAACAAACTTGTTTATACTTAAAAAAAAAAAAATCAGAGTACTTTAACTCTGGCCGCACATTACAAGCACATTAAGAGCTTTAAAGCATATCCATGCCCAGTACTCGTTCCTGGTCAAATAAAGCAGGGTCCTACTGGATGGATACTGGGCACCAGCATTTTTTTTTTTTTTTTTAAAGCTTTCTCAGACTTGGCCAACTGCCTCTCAGAACCAAAGCAGTTATCACCTGAGCCCTTTGTAGTTTCCCCATCCCCCTGGGGCATTTCCTTCAGGAATTCAAGGCAGTAGGCAAGATAATAAACATATGACTTAATTCAATGTAGCAACTAAAAAAGAGCAGGAATAGAATACTTCTTACACAGATCACAGAAGGATGAGCAATGCTGTACCAGAATCCAAAGTGATGCTGGTCATAAGAGGGAACCGTCTGGCTTTTGATGTTTGAAGTCAAACAAAGTTCTAGAAGAAAGGGGAAAAAATCCTTCTATTAAAAGCAAGTAAGTGAACTCATTCAGCAAGCACCAGACAGACTAGAAAACTTTCCAAACTCAGGTGATTTAAGCAGTTTAATTATTCCATAAATTCTACTGCTTGATATGTGTAATGTGAAACGGGTTCTCAGCTGGGGTGTAGCTTAGCAGAAGAGTGCCTGTCCTGCACGTGCAAGCCTCTGCACTCACCACACACAAACACACAAATTGCAGTTCAGATAATGTACTTGTACAAAGATACCTGTCATCACTGTGATAGCAGCCATACCAGGCAAGGAGTTACTGCTTTCTTCACAATGATGGACTTCCCTTGCTTTACCAAGATAAAGACTACAGGCCTAGAATATAATGAGCCTATTGAAGGGACCAGCCCCCCATTTCGGCAGCCATGACAGTAACACGTGCTCGCTATGACCTTGCCTTGGTCACTAGAGGTTAGCTGCTTGCCTCGTGGCAAGGAACCAATCAGAAGTTAGCTGGTGGCGCTATGCTTTATGGCTCTGGATGTGCTTTACAGACAAGTACACAGCAATGACACGCAGAGCATAGCAACCACCCTGGGAGGGCCTATGGGCCATAACTACCAATTGGCCAATCAACACAGGGCAAGCCCTCCAAGCCTGGAGGCACACCAATCCTAAGCCTGTGCATACCCCTAGACACTCCCCTTACGCTGCCCTACAAGATTGCTCGGCAGCCAGTTCGAGGTGTCTTTTCTAGCCATCCGCGATGGCGGGTGAGTGAAAGACCTGAGGCAAATTAGCTCGTTAAAAAAACAATAAAGCCTCATGCAGTTTGCATCAAGCTCTCAAATTTGCCTGGTGATTGGGGTGACCGAGGTCGTGGCCTGGGACCCCGGATACCTGAGTTTTTCCTATCACATTCCTTCATAGAGCTTCACATCCATTGATGTTGTTTTAAGACAAGGTTTCACTATGTAGCCCTGGCTGGCCTGGGACTTACT